TGGGAAACCGCTCTATTTTTTTACTGATATATTATTTTTTTTAATAATTACAGGACGATGAGCTCCAGATATTCAGGGAAGTCCAAACAAATGATGTGCCGCTGCGGAATGTCGTCCTTGCTACTGACGTCACGCCGGCAACATAGCTACGGGCGGCAGTTTTATAGGTGTCCGATGTGGAAACATGAACCGGGCGACTGCGGCTTCTTCAGGTGGACAGACAAACTTCCAAATTCAACGTTATCCCAATCGAAGAACACTGCAAGGGATTCGACGGTGTCACAGTAGGAGACAATCACTTGTGGTTCAAGTGTTTCTCAACCTCAAAATGTTGTTCGTGATTCGATCGTGCACCAACCGAGCAACGATTCTCAGGAGATGTTACTTTTTGCATTTTAAATTGGATGTTATAATCCTAGTACTAATTGTAGTTTCAATATGTATTTTGGTTTTAATTTGGTATCTTGAATTCTATTTTAGATGAAGTCAGAATAAAAAATCTATACTGTAATGAAATTATAAATTTGTCATGCAACAAATATATATATATATATATATATATATATATGTGTGTGTGTGTGTGTGTGTATTTTGTGCTAATTGTCTAATAAAGGATAAGAAATTTTTCACTTCTGTTCCTTCAGCAAGAAGTTCTTCACTTCAGTTCCTTCAGCTCCTGCATATTTTCTTCTACTTGAGTTTAATTTTTTCTTAAATTTCATTCAATTTATTTTAAAATTATTGTAAAATATAAATTACTTTATAAAAAATTATGTTACAAATAATTTAAAAAAAATTCAAAAAAAAATTTTATAATGTGTAAACGGTCTTTTATCTACCAAAAATCTATAAATAAGTTATTTTTCAAACGCGCGATCCAAACAGCTAACAACTTATCCAGATCAGGGGCGGAATGGTCATTTATCCAAAATCAGCTGTTTTCGAAACGCAAAAACCAAACAGCTAGCCAGCTTGTCAGGATAAGCTGATTATCGACAGATTATCAAGATAAGTTGTTTATCTGGATAAACTGGATAAGCTGTTGCTGCCCCAAACAGACCCTCAATTTTATCACTCTTTGTTCTAAAATTACTTGTGTATCATATGATCAATTTTTACAAAAAAAAAGTAACTCATTATCACATTTGACAACACTCATTAATCATGGAAAACATCAAAATATGTGAAGGTCAAAGTGAAAATTAGAAAATGTTAAGTTGAAATATATACAATAAAACTATAATATATTATACATCACATATTATTTTGTGTAAATAATAAGATAAATGTAATGGAAACAAAATTTGAAGCTAATTTTGACATGAAAAACTATTTATCTATTTTATTAAAATTTAAAAAATCATTAACCCTTAATTAGCAAAAAAGTAAGAAAAAGATAGATCAATTTTGATTTGTGATTTTTGCTTATAATTTACAAAATACATAAACTCTTAAAAGCATTTTTGAATGTTTTTTATAAATAAATTTATAAATTGAATGCTTGCGACAAATAAGAGTCATGCACCTTGCATTTATATAACTCACTACCTAATAAATTTAAAAGGCTCAAGTTTCCTTTAATCTACTTTGGTCATCTAGTCACCAATCACTTGATTTTGAAGGTTAAACAAAATCCATACAAACTTCTAATCCTAAAATCACTTAACATATGCATTAGTTTGTTCAATTAAATATTTGTTTGCATTGAAATAAACTCATAACCATAGGCCTATGGAATCAACAACGTCATGGTGGTGGACATAAAAGTCATTGCAAGAAAATTGCAAGTTTAAGTGAAAAAAAGGTAGAGGAGATAAACAATCTCACATCAGCTTTGTACAAAGTAGAGGCATTCCACCATTTTGACATTTAAGCTCTCCCCTCTCTATCCTAGCAACCTCTCCCATTATAATTATGGAGAAAAAAGAGGATTAGGCTTACCAATGTGAGACTAAAGTATACAAGAAATGCTTAAGATGACAGGAGGGCTATAATAGCTACTATGGAGGGAGTAGAAGGATAGCTATTAGACGGTAAGCATGATAAGAACCATTAAAAATCATTTCCCACACTTGGGCCGTTATTGGGTTTATTATCCCATGGATTGAAGTAACAGCATCAACTAGACATAGGATTGATTTCTTAGGTTTGAGCCAAAATGCCTATGTTCGGTTAGGTTTGTTTTAATGTAAATTGACTCATAATGGTAACAACATAGCATGGTTTGAACTAAATTAATCAATTTTGTCCATCAGAATTGAGATTGACTAGGTTTGACTTCATGGAGGCTTTAAACCAATGCATAAAGATATGAAATATGATATGTATTAGGACTTTCCCTAACAATTTTTACTCAGAAGATATCAACATGTAAGGCAACAAATCAAGTCAAACTAATCATTATTGCATCAACCTTAGTTCTACCATTTTTATAGGTCCGCATTCCATAAATGAGAAAGGATATAGAGAAAGAAGCTTTGTCGCAATTAATTAATTCATATAAAAATTTAGTTAATAAAATAGATAAATTCCTTAAAGCTGTTCATATCAAAATCTAGTTAACCGACTAGCTTCTTTCATAAAGAAGTTAATTTTGACAAGAAAAACTATTCATCTTAACTTACCAACTAGCTCCTCAAAGCCTTCATATCCTTCTTTAAGAAAGAGCTGGGTCTAAACCCTTCGTTTATAGTAAGCAAAAATAATAATATTAGCACAAAATCATCTCCTTCTTCACATGCTATAACTTGAATTCCTTTAGAGACCGCACAACATTATAATAGCTTGTTTCTTAAACAATCCCCTCTCTCCATGAATTTTTCTGAAGTAAATCATATTATTAACTTCCTAGAAGTTATATTTCTAATGCTACGTCTTTTTGCATTCAAGGGTTTTTTAAAATTTAAAAAATGGATAAATTTCTTCGCAAATTTTATAAGATTACAAAGGGGACTCGAGACTTCAATATCATGCCAAATCTTATGAAAAACTCCTCGACAAATGGGATTTTGAGGCATCTTCAAAGCTGGTCTTTATTGAGTCTATGGAAGAATTCCTGCATCACATAATTGTGAAGACAGATCTTATAGAATTGTAGAAAAAATGAAGAGAGATCTTATAGAATTGTAGAGAAATTTCTTTTTTTAGTAAGCCGCATGAATTTTGGTGCATTATAAGTAACAAGTTGGTATGAGAAAGTATGCTAAGAAATTTTAAGACACATGCACATGCATTAAAAGAAATAGCTTTGTGTTCATTTTCATGATGATTGAATGCAACAATATTATCCCATGTATGGTTGTTACCATTTTACCACATTAAAGCAATAAAATTATGATAAAAACAACACCAACAAAAAAAGACTGAGATCCATATTAATCCAATAAAAGCTTATATTTACTATTAAAATTTTACAAAATAAATTACAATGATTTCATCAATAAGAGTTATCCGTTCATGTATAAGACTGGTTAAATTGTATAAAAACTTTGAATCCTGACTTATGGCATTATATAATCCACGTAGAAATTAATCAAGATAAGCCTAGTGTGGACAAATTCCAAATAAATATAAGGAGGAATAGTTTGGGACAAATGAAATGATTTGCCACCAATAATTAGGATTCATGACATCTTCAAAAGAACAACCACACATGGATTTCAGTCAAGGGAGAAAAAAAGGAATTAGCGTACAGAATCATGCAACAAATGTCAAAATTCCCTTACTAGTAAAAAAAAAAGAAAAAAAAACTAAAGAATAGTATCTTATGCTTTTACAAAATATTATAGGGATTGGCTAAAATATTAGAGTTTTAGGTTTCATTACAACCGAAACAAGAAATGAGAACTCGATACAGGAATCCCACAGATAAAATAGTAATTTTATGATAAAAAAACAAAGTAAACAAAAAACTACAATAAACCACACAAAAATACATCCGTACAAGTCAATATAAGTATAAGGGTATACAATGACCAAATAACTCTCTCCACAATAATGCAAAAAGCCTAATCTGAACTCAATCATTCCATTGACTAGCAACTGTAAAAAATACAAGAAGCTAAGAATCTATAAAATTGTCATACTTTTGCACAATGTCCCATAAAATTGAAAGATAGGGAAAGAGGACTTCCCTCACTCATCATCATCAATAGTATTCTCCCAACTATTTAGGGTTGGTTTTACCCCTCCTTTTTCATTTTTTCCTCCATGAGTGAAGCATAAAATCCCCTTCCACTGACAGCTATAAGTGCCTCTAATAGAAGTGGAACATAATCCATGTAAAAGAAATTTCAATGATTAAAAAAAAAACAAGAAATAATTGTGCAGATAGCCGTAACAATATAAGAGTTGCATTTTCGAAACTATAGTGCACCTCTATATTAGATACACTATTCAGGTAATTATATGCATCCTCATATCTCAGTTCTCCAGCTTGAGAAGTCCATTAGCTTACTTTTCTACATGCCAGCATTTTGTTCTTTCAGAAAACATTTAGGTCACTACTGTACATTAGTTTGATAATTTGCTTTGTAATTATACTCAATTACCATGAAATGGAAAAGAATTCTTGGTATAAATAATATTAAATTACATTTTAATTAAAGTTTTGGGAGAAGCTGTTTTGTTTTCCTTTAGTTTCTCCAGCCAAAAATAAGCTAAATATGTCTTTTCAGATATTTTCTGCTGAGCTAGTTACCAGTAAACCAATTTTTGGTAAGGCGAAGCGATATTATTTGAAATGCTGCAATATAAAGAATCGCAAGGTTTAAGTTGCTCAAGTGTTTTAAGAATGTATAATGGAAATCCTAGATACGAAACTCTATTAAAGAAAAAACCAAAAAGCACAACAGCAGTTCAGCGTGATAACCCATAGAAAAAGAAAATAAAGATCGCATTTCAGTTGACTATAAGAATCATAATCTAGAGAAAACCAAACAAAACGAACAGAAAGTGTTCATAGACGACAGTGGTATTGAATTCGCCAAGTGAAGGCCTACCGAATTCCTGCGAAGAAGATGGGATGAGGAAATCATCTTCGGACGAAATTTCGATAAGAGGGACGTACTCCATTGTTAAATTGTCGAGAAGACGTCGATTATAGTGGAGGTTCTGAAAAGGAGCGATGTTCTCCGATGAGTGAGATTAGGGTTCGAAGTGGTTCGGAGGAATAAAGTTTTCAAACGGGAATATGGCCACATATAAAATAAGCGTGTCTTTATCAAGTTTCAAACTAGGCAAATTTATTACAAAATAATCGCTCAAAGCGGGAGTGGCAATGTGAAGGTAAGATTAAATAAAAATTTAAAATTATTATTTAAATATAAGGATATAAGATAGGAGGATTTAGATACATGTCAACTAAAACCTCTTATTTTACTTACTTTCCGCCCAAAGCTTAGTAGTGCAAGTATATTTCACCCAAAACTCCTCCACTCATCAATTCTACCACTTTGTACCTCTCAACCCCGCTTCGATGTCTTTGCAACACTTTGAGGTAGTTATCCCTCTGTATAGGGCTGTCAAAACGGCTTGTTGTTCACAAACAGTTTGTGTTCAGCTCGTTTGGTAAGTTAACGTGTCGAGCACGGACAACACAAATAAATATTTGTTCTTTCGTGTTTGGGTCGCTTTGGCTCGAAATATTACTAATCAATTATATATATATAATGAGTAGTATTTAAAAAAAAATTAATTGAATACAAGGCTAAAAAGATTTATAATCAATTAAAAGTATTAATTAAGAAAATATAATAAAAATTATTATATTAGATTCAAATGAAGTTTTAAATCTTGCCCCAATCCTTAACAACTTATGGCTATGTGATTAGGGTTGTCAAAATGACTCTTTCTTCATGAACGGTTTGTGTTCAGCTGCTAAGCAAACGAGCCGAATTTTGAGCTTGAAATATAAACGAGCCAAACACGAGCTGAGTCTGGGCTCGCTCTTGTTCAGCTTGTTTACACCCCTACCTCTGTCCTCCTTATGAAGCTCAAGCTCTAGGTATTTCCTTCGTCATTCTCCTGCTTTGCACTTCTCTAGTTTTTAGCTACTTAGCCTTTCTCCTTCTTAACTTCACTTTTTCTTCACTCCACAAGCAACAAGCCCACTCTGGCCTTCGATCTGAAAGTAGCTAGCCTCACCTAGCCCAACCTTCCATCTGCAAGCGACAAGACTTGCTCCAGCTTTTGAATCGCAAACAACGACCGCTGCACCTTTTTTACGTGAGCAGGAGAATAGTTTTGCTCCATCCGTAGATGCCTTTTGTAAGTGACAATTGTATATTAGATACGTGTCTGCACGACACTTAAGGAAATTGAATGGACAAAAAGCATAAAAGAGCACAACTAAGAGGGTTCACATACGTAAGACCAAGGAACCATGGACAGAAGACCAAAGGTCTGTCAACAATAGCTAAGGTACAACATTGAAAGGTTAAGCACTCATCAACAAATTTCTAAAAGACCTGTCTAATCAGATGCAACCCCCCTAAGCCAAGGTTGAAGGCTGACCTAAGACGTCCAACGGAAGGTTAATGTCTTTCAAGTTGAGTGAGGGCATTGTTCTACTTCTTATCATCATTAAACTCAAGGAAGCAATCAACATCATTAACTTATCTCGTTGTTACCCCCAAGATTCCTTATTTGAAGCCAAGAGCTAACCATTAGATAACATCAAAAGCGAAGGCGAACGAGTAGGTCTTGTCAAAACAGAACCAACTAACTATAGCCAACCAAGTCATAGGTGACTGAATCAAAGACCTATTAATGTAAAATACCCAAAATATCATGTAACACCTCCATTAAAGCAAGAGGAAATACGTAACTTTATATAATGTATCCCCTCCTCTATAAATAAGGAGATAATTTTTTCAAGAATGGATTTTGGCATCACTTTTGATGTTGTATGTATGTGAGATGTCCACTTGAATGATATGGGACTATGTTTAGTCTTTTGTAGTCTGAGACATCCTTTTGAACCTCCTGGTACATGTCTCGAGCAAAAAACTAGGATTGGTACCAATTCAACCCTACCCTGAGAGCTCGTCATTAAGCAAAGATAGTTCCAACATGGGATGTATTTAATGTCCATTTTGGTGTTTAAAGACTATACTCTGTTATTCGGAGCCTCCTATGGTCAAGGGGAGTCACAAATCTCTCCTACGAGTGTTTCAAGAAAATCGAGATATAGACTGACCCACCAGCGCGGGGATCCAGGATGCAAGTTGGCATCTAAATCCTTGAATTGAAACCCTTAAAAATGTTTATTTTTGAGTTAAGGGGTCATATTTTAGTGATACGCAATCTCCTGTAGCTTCCAGATCTATAAACACATTTCTACGAAAGTCTGAGCATAAAATTGAATTTCAAGCCCTCATGGTCGTACTCGACTCCGGGCGACAATTTTCACCTGATAAGGCACACCCCTAGTGTCCACCATGATGTAAGAAGCCTATTTTCATTCTTGGATGTCCTACAATGGTTTGAATATCCATAGGAATCCTCTGCATATGACATTAACCAAGAATGGCGGAAAACAAAAAATGAATTTTTTTTTATAAGGGGGTGGCGCTTAGGCGCATAGAAGCCCAAAATGCGTGCCCGATAGAGGAGTGGGTGCGTCTTTGGGTGCTTAGGTTCCCAAACATGGCTGGTGTGCTCCTTCTTGCACCAACTCGAGAAGGAGCGGTTAAGCGCCTCTAATTGATGCATAAGCACCAAGATTGCTAAATGGATGCTCCCATATAGTAGAGGGCATATAAGCCCCCATTGGTGCCTAAGCAACCCAAATAGTACCCTGTTATAGAGAGCTGGGTGCATATGCACCCAACCCAAAAAATTCACAAAAATTAACCGCGATAAGCCAAAAATTGGGGAGATCATGATGCATTACCTGTGGGATAAGAACCCCTTTTACCTAGTTATTTTGCTAATCAAGGAAGCAAACCAAAGGGTGAAAACTAGGTTACCATTATGGGATAAAAATACACCAGAGAAATGGCCAAGTGACGTTGATCCCTTCCAAAATGCAAAAGATATGTGCAGGTTGGGGTCATGAGAGAGTGAGAGAGAGCACAATCAGTTAGGAGAGCCATGAAAGAGTTCTTTGGAGAGCTTGGAGACTTCTAGAGAGTTTTTAGAGGCTTTTGGAGAGATTCTTCTAGCCTTCTTCTTCTTCTTCCTCATTTGCTTCATCCTCTTCTTCTTTCTTATCGTTTCTTCATCACTTATCTCATTTCTTCGAGAAAAAAGAGGTGCGTGAAGAAATTATTGGTGTTTCCTTGGCCATTCTCCTTGTGAAGGAGAGCTTCTTAATTCCTAGGAGAAAAAATGGAGACACCGTCACCGATTCAAGGTCGGAGCTTGGAACATGCTGAGAGCACGTTACTCCAACGTCATGAAGGTATAACATCTTCAAAACCTTGCAATTTTTTTCTTAGCAAGCCCCTAAGTCTGGTTGATATAAATTAGGACTAAGATTTTGTCTTCGAGGAAACTACTATGTTAGGGAGCTTTTTGTTGATTTTACCCCTACAAATTTGAGGGATCCCCCTTTAAAACTTTGCTTATTGTCCCAATCAATTAAGAACCTAGTAATCCCATGATTATTTCGCGGCTTCATCCCTCGATGAATGATTTTAAGCCACCTCAATCTAGAGAAAGAGGAAATTCATTTGATCCTCATTCCCTAGATCACAAATGCTATGTTTATGAGTGAAACATTAATTTTCAAGAAGATTTCCTTTTCACGGAGAAGCTCCTTTGCATTTTTATTGAATAATTAAATTTAGGCCATCCTTTACATTTCATGATGGACTGTATCTACGACTTCACCACATACTCTAGATCCTATGTGGGTTCGGCAAGTTGAGTTTGATTTGTCGCCGAGTGTGTCAGATTGCATTGATTGCAAGTTCATTTGTCACATTCACGTGTGGCATTTTGATCATGTGCTCACTTTGGTTCGATCAGCTGCCCCGGCCCAATCGATCGATCACTATGATCTAATCAACCATCCTGACCTGATTGACCTATTAGTTTGGTTTGATCGGTCGCTTCCGCCTGATTGAATGATCATTTTAGTTAAATTGTGTACCCTGACCCTATCGACTGATCACTTGGGTCCAATTTACCATCCCGGCATGATTGGTTGTTCACTTCGGTTCAATCAACTGATCCAACCCAATTGACCGATCACTTTAGTTCGATTGACCACCCCAGCCTGATCAATCGATCCCTTCAGCCCAATTGAACTATCGCTTTGGTCCGACCGGCCGTCCCGACCAGGTCGACTGATACACCTAAAATATATAGTGTGTTTAGACACATTTTTATATCTATTTTTGAGATTTGCACTTTAATGGAAGGTATTTATGTGTTTTTCTCTCAGGTACAAGTAAAAAAGTGAAAAATACTAGAAGAAGTGAAAAAGGGTCAAATTTGGAGCAAGTCAAATTTGAAGCAAAAATGCAAAAATGGTGCAAAAGTATTTTGGCGCCTAAACGCCAGTGAAATAGAGAAGGTTGTGCCTAAGCGCCAGAGGCCCCAAGCTTAAGCGCCAGAGGCAGTTATTTGACGGGTTAATTCATTTTGTCGAATTTTTAAGGGACATTTGAGGCACATATTAGCTAAAGAGAATGGTTATGACCACTAAAAACAAAAATATCGTTAAAAAACTTGTGAAAGGAGGCATCCCTTGGAAAATACATC